GTTATTCCTGTCAGATCAAAGAAAGAGATAACAGAAGAAAATATAAGAGGAAAAATAAAACCCAGAAATGAGGGTAACTGAAAAGCACTGCAAGCCTACTGCATCATTATGACTTTTCAAATTATTTAAATATGCTAAATATCAAGTCACCACCAAAGAAATAAATATTGCATAGGCCATGTGCTCTGTTTGCTGCCAGCAAAACTGTCCTAGGATTAGTTTACGGGCGCAGCAACTGCCTGTCAAACACTAGCAATTTTAATCATTTTTCAATTTGCTGTGTGAGTTGCAAGTATGCTCAGGTATTTTGACAGGTGGCTGCTCGGAACAAATATCTGAGCTTCACATTCCCTTGCTTTCCTACCCACTCCCAATTCCTGTCAGACTGGGGGGATTCAGGCATTCAGTGAGACTGCAGCAGTCACAGCAAAGTCTTTGCACTGCTAAGCTGTGCTCGCAGAGAACACAAGGATGACACAAAGCCCAGAGTCTACTGCAAACCAAGAGCTGTGTAAAATAATGTTTCAGCTGATTTTTCCAAACATCTCCAACCAAAAAGAAGCAGAATGTCTACAAAAGGGATCTAAATCCTTAGGGATTTAAAGGGATACAAAAGGGATCTTAAATAGAGATCTATGTATGATTTTGAATAAAAAAACAAGAAACCTGAAATAGTATTTTTCCACACACTGATTATGTTTCAGTATGACATGTGATTCATCTATTATGTCCTAACTGCCCACTTAATTATTCTGTGTTTAATCTGCAAGGTAGTACTGAAAATAACTTTAGCTCTTCTGTTGCTTATTGCTAACGACCAATATAGCTGTGCTGTTCCTTTTGAGCCACAACACTTTGCATCACACAGAAACGAGTTCTTAACTTGAAAAAGGCACAGCTTTATTGATTTTTGAGTGCCCAGATTTCCAGGTGTTTGGGAAATCTATATACATCTGGGAGAAACCAGGGGAGGAACTATATTTTCCTAAAGAAGTGAACCAATAACACTGAAGCACCATAAATAAACTGCATTTCCAAAATTGTTCTTTATACATTAGCATTCTTAGCATCAACTCCTTGAAGTCAGCCAAATCTGGCCAGTAGAAAGGATCTGGATTATGATGTAAACTAACAGTAAAGACAATTCCAAATAACATCTAATGTCCAATATAACTACTGTTTACATATTAAAAAGAGATACAGGCTTTGTACCAGGGATGTTCTGTCATGTTTCTCCACAGGAGAAGACTGTCATGGTAAAGTTCATTATCAATTACTGCTTTACAAGTACTAGATGAGTTAAGCTGTCATAATTTTCTCAGCCAGAGATCTTGTGCTGTCAAATAATGTCAATTTTTAATCTGACAAAAGGAAGAAAATTATCTGTTATTCTGACCTCTAATTTCTTGACATTTTAATGCTGTAATTGCTGTGGTTAGTGCTGCAACCATGATTTCACCTGTCATGTAAGAATGAATCAATATCCTTAAGCTGTTCTTCAAGTTTTAGTTTTCACCTCACTGCTTTTACTTTAAAAAAAGAAGAAATTTGCAAACAGAACGCATCAGGTTGCAATAAAAAAAAAAAAAAAAATTTGGGGCCTGAATAATGTTTATTTTGTTACACATTTTTTCTCTGCCTTATTACAATATGAAAACTATTTTTGCAATGTGCAGAAATAAGAGAAACCATTAGAACTGATAGAACTGGAGGATTTCCCATTTTTTAACCACAAAAGATCTAAAGAAAAAATTTCATTTTATATATTTTGTGGAGCATTTAAGGCAGGACTTTCATGTTGCCCTTATCACTACTTGAAATAAACTATAATGATCAAATATTTTTTGTGGTATTAGAACACTACAAAGTTGTTTGAAAAATCAAAAATCAGTATGCTTAAATGAAATCAGTATATTTTTCCCATCCAGTGTAGATCTTAAGTTGCCAAAGAGTTATTACAGAGGTAGATATATGTAATTTCATAATTTTAGTAATCTAGAATTTAATGCTATCCCAGCATTTCAGTTTCACCTACTGTGAATTTGTAAAATAGAAAACAAAGAAACCAAACCAGATGAAGAGTCTTCTACTAAATAGGACCAAACACAACATCAGCACATTTTTCCAGTGTTGAACAGTAAAGAATTCTTAAAGGGCTCCTTTATGCATGTGAGAAAGATGTAAGGAATGGCAGGGATGAGTTATCCCACCATTGGATGTATTTTTGCTCCAGCTAGAAGTGACTCCTTTACCATTCTTCACAGAAAGCTAAGAACAACATATTCCTTAATGTTTAATTGAGGTGCTCAAACCAAGGGCAAAAGTGAAGGGGACAAGGTATATATGAACAGGTCACAGGGATATGTCTTTTAAAATGATGCCTTTCAATCAGATCAGACCTAGATGGGAGGGTTTTTTATTTGGAAGGATTTTTATTTGGAGCCTTATTTCATTGGACAGGTTCTGCTGGGACTCAGCTCCATATGAAATTAGTTATGGCCACAGTTTGAGTAGGCTACTGCCACATTTGAGGCCATTGGTCTGATGAGAGCTGCTGCCAATAAGATTGTGTCAATTGGCATATTTTACAGACATTTATTGAGAACAATTGCTGTCTTCTGTGTGACAGAACAAAAATACTTCAGCTTATTTAGAAAATACACATCAAGAGCATTTGGATACTGAGAGACGCATTTTCCTGGATATTTGCAAAGTTTGATTAATTTTAAATTGCAGTTTTTCTAAGTTAAGATGCCACACAACATCATCTGCCACTGTAAAACATATTAAAGAATTGTTGCTACTATTTTGGAAGGTGCTAGTCTTCTTATCCTTACTTTTCTGTATTTGTAAGTGGTCTTCAGAGGATTTAAAAAGATCTTTTGTTTTTTAACTTATTTTCTGGAATATCTAGTAAAAGCCAGAATAAAGTGAAAAAAAAAATAAAAAAGGAAAAAAGCCAACAACATAATGTATATAGAATACATACACTTGTAACAGAAACATGACATCCAAATACCTGATCTACTAGATCTTCAAGTCATCAAGATGTCAAATGCTTTATTACTGGCCAAAGAATGTCTGCTAGTTTCATAAACACAGCTCAGGGAAACAGATGAAGGCTCTAAATCTGTCTTTATTTACACACGTAATGTAATTTCTGTTTAAAAATGAATAAAAAGTATTTTTTGACCTTTTTATGACAAACCATAAATCAGCAATGTCTGAGATGTCTTGGAGGAGAAAGTACACTACTATTACATGCAAGTATGCAACTTTATGTATCTATATAGGAGGATTCGTTTTTTCTAGACATCTTGTCTTCTCATTGATAACAATAGATTTTTACTTACTAATTGAACTTGTGGCAACGAAGATAAAGTTGTGTTTTTACAAGTTTACGTGGCGTAAATAGCCTAAGAAGAGGTTTATAAGCTATTGACTGACAGGGTGTGGGTTAGATGTACAAGTGAGTGAACAGATGTACAAGTGAGTGAACAAAAATATCTCCATGAATTTCTTGAAATTTCTCCTGACAAGTTATGCATGTAAGTAGAACCACAGGAGACCTGAAGAGTTTCATCATGTCATAAGATGTTAAATAAGGTGCACAGACAGATAGATAGACCTCAATCCTACAAGCTGCCCTGTGGGAGTAGACCTTTAGAGTCAAGACACAAGAGTCTGCCCATGCAAATCAGGTCCTTAAGCTGTGCAAATCCCTTGTATTCATGGTGCTTGGCACCTGTTTTACACCTTAAAAAGCGTTTCTCCTTCCTATCATGCTCAAAGTCTTAAATCCAGAAAACCATTATCTAGATGTTAACATTAAATATTTGAGGCAGTGGACTCAAAGAAATTCTGGCCAGTCTTAAAACTGAGCAGATACTAACTGCTTACAAAATGTGAGCTTTGCAATGCATGGTGTGAAAATCCAGCTCTAGGAAACTAGGGGTGGAATGGTTTTTTACTTCTGCTCCTCAAAAAGAATCAAACGTAGCAACATGCAAGAATGCACTACTAAAAAACAACATGCCCCAAACAAACATTTAGCTGAGCATTAATGCTTTCGAGAACCTCCTTCTTTCTGAAATCTGTAGATCTCTGTCTCCAAGATTGGAAAATAAACAAACAAGCAAAAACCTGGCAATGTATAAATTATTACTGTTTTACATACAGCAGATGGCATCTATCTGGGGGAATGGAAGATTGCCTGTACAGCTTCATCACAGTAGTACTCATCTAGCAGCTGTTGCTTCTTCACACTTTTCACCAAATTTCAATTGTTTTTTTTTCCAATGAATGGATGATATTAGAAAATGATCACTCAAATTAATAGTCTTACTAAAACCAAATACAGTCACTGGAAGAAAAAAATGTATCAGGATAGCTATTTTAATTTTTCTTTAATTTACTGATAAAACACCTGTATATATATATATATATGCATTTATATATAATTCACACATACATATATACAACACAAACATTTGTATGCACAACAAATAGCAAACACTTTCTGTTTTGGTAGCAGTTTGATTATATTTTACATGATTAACACGAAAGTAATCTGAATAATTGCTACTGTCACTCTAGCAAATATATTCTTTTTCAAATCCATATTCTCACTAATATTTTCTCACTGAAAAGGTTTCCCTATGACTATGCTGCAGTTCTTTTTTTCAGCTTTTCAGTTCTACTAAGCAGACTTAATAAAAGTAAATTATTAAAAGTAGCAAAATACCTATTACAGAATATACATTACATTATAAATTCCCATCTCATAACTAACCATTAAATACATGACTAACTTCAAGCAAACAAAATACTTCGGGACATCTGTTTTATTGCTAGTTTATTCATACTTGCTTCTGAAGTCACCTAGGGCCTAAGTTCTCAAGTCTCACATAACAATTTTCTCCAGCAGTGAAGGATGGAAAAAGTACCATTTCTTGTGAGATGACAGCAGTTTTTAGAACAAAATGGCAGTAAACACCTACCTCCCTGAGGACAGGGTCAGTGATACTGTCCAGGTTCACAGAGCCCTCATACGTTAGGTAGTGGAAAACGTTGAGTGCACGCACTGCTTCTGGCCCTCGTTGCTTGTAGCCAAATATAAGGTCAATCCACTGATGAAGTTGACATGATACAAACTCACTTTCCAGAGCCTGCAAGTGAAATTCAGAGTTAGGAAGTAAATTCCACCCTGCAATTTCATGCTTAAATTACGTCCTACCTTTTTCTATTAACTGAGGAAATATGACACGTATCATTACATTTCCTGTTCAGGCTTATTTGATATATTTGAAATACTCCAATCATTAAAAAACAGAACTAATTATATTGAGAGAAACACTAACAAGACATTCTTATTCCCTTCAGCTTTATATCATACTAATTTTCTTCTCAGCTACTGGGTTTCTCCTAGTTGCAAGGGTTTTAATTATTAATTTTGGGACTTGTCAAGAAAGTTAGGTAATTTGCCAAGAAAAACTGATGAAAATGGGAAAACAATTTCTAAAACCCAATCTTCCAACTCATTTTCCAACTAGTTCTAATTAGTCTTAAAGCTAAAATGGAAACTTGAGGATTAAAAAGATGTATCAGCAAAATGAGGTTCTGAACTCCATGTGCAAATTGTGACTGATTTCTCAAAGGAGAAGAGCATTCCTCACACTCATTTCTGACATTAGGTTGATGCACCAGGGAAAACACAGGCCGTGAGTAGCTTGTTTAAAAATGGGTTCAAGGATTGCTGTTCCTTTGCTTAGCATATGGAAAGAGATTAATTCTAGACAGAGGAAATGATGATACTATTACTGTTGAGTCTGATCCAGCTAATGTATCTTTATTATGCCTGACTGGCATCCTTGGTAGATACCATTGTCTGAATTGGGGCTTTTGAGAGCTGAATGCATTACAGTTTCTCCTTACCCCTGAAGTGCTGAGGTTAAACCCCCAGCTCTGAATGAGGGTGGGCACGTGGATGATGTCCACAAACATGCAACCCAACTTTTCATCAATCCGTACCCCCAAGTCCTTCTCCACAGGGCTGCTCTCAGTCACATCTCCCAGCCTGTATTGATACTGGAGGTTGCCCTGACCCAAGTGCAGGACCTTGCACTTGACCTTGTTAAATCTCATGAGGTTCACACAGGCTCCCTTCTCAATCTTGTCCAGGTCCCTCTGGATGGCCTCCTGTCCCTCTTGTGTGTCAACTACACCAGTCACAGTGATGTTATCTGCAAACCTGCTGAGGGGGCACTTGATCCCACTGTCTATGTCATTGATGAAGGTATTAAAGAGTACTTGTCCCAGTACGGACCCTTGAGGGACACCACCCATCACGAATCTCCATCTGGACACCAAGCCATTGACCACTACCCTCTGGATGTAAACATCCAACTAATTTCTCATCCACCAAACAGTCCACTCCACAATTCCATATCTCTCCAATTTAGAGAGAAGGATGTTGTAAGAGACCAAGTTAAAGGCCTTACAGCATTCCAGATAGATGACATCTGTAGCTCTTCTGTTGTCCACTCACATCACAGAAAGCTACAAGGTGTATCAGGCAGGACTTGCCCTTGGTGAAGCCACACTGGCTGTCTCAAATCCCCTCCCAGTACTCAATGTTCCTTAGCATAGCTTCTAAGGAGGATCTGTCCTGTGATCTTCCCAGGCACAAAGGTGAGGCTGCCAGGTTGGTAGTTCACAGTGTCCTCCTTTATACCCTTTTTAAAAATAGGTTCAATGTGTCCCTTTTTGCAGTCACTACGGACTTCAACTGACTGTCATGAGTTTTCAGATATCATGGGGAGTGGCTTGGCAACTATATCAGCCAGTTCCTTCAGGATTCTGAGATGCATCTCATCTGTAGGCTTATGTATGTTCTGGTTCCTCAGGTGGTCACAAACCTGATATTCTCTTACAGTGGGAGGGACTTTGCTCCCCTAGTCCCTGCCTTGCGTTCCATCCACTCAAGAGGTGTCAGAAGGGAGATTGCCAGTGAAGACTGGGGCAAAAAAGTTGAGCACCTGAGCCTTCTTATCATCCTTTGTTACTAGTTTGCCAGTCTTGCTCATCGAGGGGGTACACTTTCTTTGACCTTCAAACTTTAGAGAGTTAGGAGAGTTGAATGCCTATGTTATGTTTCCCTGAGGCAGTTTCTTGCTTGCATGACCAGCCCTTACTCAGCAGCTTGTCATTCCAGAGAACGTCTTACCGACCCTAGCAGGTCTGGAGAACTTCTAATTTACATGGCTGAACAATTCTTCAATAATCTATTAAACAAATGAGCTACTTTTTAACAGCAGCATGTCATGTCTTCATCTCCAATTCTTTAAGGAGATTTATTGTACTATGTTTATAGGCCTAATGGTTCTTGAAAGAACCTCGGGATCCTTAGTTCCTTATGGAAAAACCTCAGTTCCTTGGGGAAGCCATGGGGAGGTCTGTAAGGAGTGAATTTAATGCTTTCGAACTCTACATTTCAGAACTCCACACAAAAATGGAAGTTGGAAGAATTGCTGTCAGGGAGGCTGTGAGGATATTGGTGGTACCAAAGGGACAAGTGCTGTGCCTGCCAGGTGCTGTGTTGTGGAAGACAGGCGTGGTGGGCAATTTGGGCCAGAGAACAGAGTGGAAGGTGGAGAGAGGAGCCAGAGCTGTGAAGGAGTGTGGCTCTGCATGGGCCTTAGCACTGCACAGCCTCCAGCTGCCAGCTACAATGTGTGCCCTGGGATGTTCACGTCCTCCTCAGTGGGGTGTACCGGCCACGTAAGAATGGGCCACCAAAGGGCTACAAAGTCCTGCCTGGCCCTTGGTGGGGACAAGGCTCCTGATCTGTGCTTTATAATCTGGATTCATGTCAGTCAGGAGAAAGCTTCTGATGTCAGGTCTGACCTGGTTTGCTGATGTTTCTCCCAAGTACTTCTGCAATGTTACTCATGCGATACTTGTAGAATCCTCTCCCTAATTTGCTCTGATACACAGGCTGCTCCCCCTCCATCTAAGTGCCTCCTGAAAATTTATGAGCTGTTCACTGTCAACAGTACATCATTTGGTTTCTCAAGAATATGCAATGCTCAGTAGGGAATAGGGTGAGGGAATTTTCTGCGTAAAATATAATTTGTAGGTACAGTCGGAACAACATACAGAAAAAAAGATAATAATAGCTTTAAAATAGGCTGGTGATGACCCTAAAGAACAGCATGTTTCAAGAACATTTTGGCTTTAAAACAGTTTGGAGGGGCTAATTTTTGGAGCATTTTTTCAATGTGAAATATATTCAATATTAATTTCAGTATGATTTTTTTTTTAAAAAATAGTAATTACTTATATAATTATATAACATTATTTATGGGTTTTAAAGAGTCATACTGTTAAACAGAAATGAGCTACTATCCAGCTTGTTGTTTACGATAATGAAATTGTACAGAAAACAGTTTTATTCAGGCATTCTCAACTTTTTTTGTACCACTTTAGGTGGTTATTAGGTTATTTAGGTTAATAGGGCTTAATTTCCAAACAGCAGCATTCCAGACAGTACTTTTCATGAGTTTTGTTTTGAGGAAGGAGTCTCTCATGTTACTGTTTCCAGCTGAGTGACTTACTACTGCAAGCATTAGTATACAACTAGTATACACATATTTTGAAGTAAAAGTACTATAGTTTTTGTATGTTTGCAAGTAAGTGCAAGCACACATTCTACAGGCTGAAAATATGACCTGTAGCTGTTGTAAAACATAAATAGTTATTCGTAACTTTATGTTTATGTATAAACTAAATAAAATCAATATAAGCCAAGTTACTACTTAGTGGGATCAAGCACTATAGCTCTTTTCAGACCTTTGTGCAGTGTGAATCCTCTGCATTTTCCTCTCACCCTAGTTTGATGTTAAAACTATTTTTTGACAGACACTCCAGAAGGAGGAATTGTTTTTTATTTTAACATGCACTCTGTTCTGTAAAGTACCAGGAGTTCTGTATCTATAAAATATACAATTCCAACCTACTTCTAACACAATGTTTTGTGTTACCTGGTGATTTTCTGTCCCCAGAGAAAAGGAAAGCTCTGATGCAGCCCCTTGTCTGGACCACAGTTGCACCTGCCCCTCCAGTTTCTGCAGTTCCTGCCTTGTTTCCCTCCTCTCCATACCTACATGCTGTCGTTCTCCTCAAGAACTTTACCATAGTATCTTGCTCTTATATTCAGTATACTTACAAATATTTTCTTAAAACTACCCCGAGACACTTTGGTTTTGTAGATCTGCTCAGTAACAGATCAATTGCTGTTTCAGTCTGAGAGATGAGCTTTTATTCCCTTCCCCTATGTTCATGTTCCTCTGCAGCCACTAAATAAACAGATTCTCTCCACCTAATATTTCTCTACCTCATTCACCAGCTCTTGTACTGACTATAGGAGTAAAATCTTCGACTCTTATCATAAAATAAAATGGGCAATACTAAGATCTGAAATCAGTTATGTTCATTTAAACAAAGTCATGTTTCAATAAAAGTGACCCAGAAGTACATTGTACAGATTTGGGTTATTCAGGGATATCTGCACAGAAACTGATCCTTTATGTGAGCATCTTCAAGATGTAAATAAGATTCTTCGGCAGTATAGAAAGTTTTAAAAAAAAATCACTTCCATTTCTAAATTAGATTGAAAACCGTGTTAGCTGGATGAGTTTTAATTGCATTGAGAATAAACCTTGACAATATACAAAATAAAATCAAAGCTACTATCGAAGAAGTGACATCAAATCTTATCTACTGCTTATCTGGTAAAAAAAAATGTCAACTGCTGCTGGATGGTGAGGAGAAGAGATAAATCTTGCAGATCCTCATAGCACAGAGTTTTCATAATAGATGTTTCTAATGACTATTCAAGAAGCTTTTTAATTATGAAATACTACGCATGCTTCTGAATAGCCAGGGAATTGTACAAAAATGTAATTGGCAGCAGAAGAGCCCAAGTAAATCCTTTCAAGGAGAGAAAGAAAATTCAATCTTAGTAACCATTATATAATAGGAACAAAATATGTATAACAAAAACAGGACACCATTTAGTCTCTCAAAAATATAATTTATAGTGAATGCATTTTACTCAACGCTGTAATTTGTAATTTAATACGTGCATAAACCATAATGAAAATATCATTATAATTAACTTCAAATTACACAATCTTGCATCTTTTGTTTCAAAACTAAAGAATGCTTATTATAAATGCTCCGCTTCAGTGTTTCACAGTGGTGTTCCCTGCCTTGATTTAACATGCTTGACTTACTGACTGAATCTGTTCTATTTCTGGCTCTCAGGACTGCTCTAAGTCTGTGGGGACTGAGAGGCTGAGTAGGACTACAGATGCACATCTGTGGAAGGTTTTATGCGTGTTTTTTTTTTTCCTGGTAAACTGGGAGATTATGATTGATGAGCCCAGCATTAGGGTAATGTTATCAGGGACACTTTCTGCCTCTGTCCTTTGTGCCATCGCCGAGGTCAGACCATAATCATGTTAGCATTGAACATAGTGCTTTATTAATGTTTCATGAGTAACTCTGTAGTAATCAGTCTAGCTTTGTATGGATAAATAAAACTGCTACAACAATCCCTGATGTATACACTGAGTGCTTTAGAAGCTACTATAATAGGTCTTAAAAGTAACTTCACTGAATATCTTTTCTGGTCTTTATAATAAGTCTAATTTTCACAAGTTTAAAGGAGTCTCTTTTGATGGAAAACCATTTCCACTTCCATTTCTGTCTTTAATCAGAAGTGTAAAACATCCAGCTGAAGAACTAAATAAAACACCACCAAACCCCTGCCTGCCGTTTATTAGTTTACACAGAATTTTAGCAAAACTAAATAACCAATTGGTTAAATTGTGTTGATTTCTATCACTGTGCCTATATGATGTTTTCTAGGCTCTTCTCTACTTGCTTTGGTAAGTCTCAACATGAAATGCTGAAATTCTTGCTATTATTTAAAGAAAATGTTTACATTCATAAAAGTGCAAGTAAGCTGTATATAAAGATTTGTATTTACTCCCACTTAAAATCACACATTATGTGTGCCTGCAGCAAACAAAAAAAAAATATATGAACAGAAGAAAATATTTTCAGGTAAGGGAAAACAAGATCCCACTGTATTTTATGCAGTGTCACATAGGATCCTTTCCACTGAAATGAAACTCCTACTGCTGATTTCATTAGACAAGGGATCAGGATCACATTTATTTGAAATACTCCTCAATTTTCTGTGGCTTTCCTGTAAGCATGTTCTCTACATGCTTTGCTAAGTTGCTGTAGAAATTCCAGGCCTGCAGAAGCTTGCTGTGTTTTACACGTCAGCACCACACCCAGGCTAGTTTTGTTTTTTTTCTCAAGATAGATTCTTGTATAACAGCCAAAGCTTGGCCTGGGGATGACCTAACTGAATATTACATCTGCTGGCCGGTTCAGAACATGGAATCAGATGTTAGGTAGGGAATGTCAGACTTTCCAATGCCTTTATATTTGTTCTTTACTTTGACCAGTCGAGCTCTACTGACTGAAAAGAGAGCAGACTGGCAGTTTGCTGTATGCATTAATAAAAACGTATGCAAGGAAGTTTTTCTGAAAAATTATTATATATTCAAATTATTACACTTCAAAAATGTAATTCCATTACTTCTTACTACACATACTGTCTGCATGTTCATGAAAGGGATTATCCTTCTTTAGCTACTTGATATTTTATAATAAGCTTTATAAAAACTATGCATATATCATACTCTTTAAACATCCTAAAGTTTCTATTCTCTGAACTCCATCCAAATATGAATACTTCTTCTATCATTTGGTTGCCCAGAAGTGAATCCAATATTCCAGGTGCAGTCTCGAAAGGACCATAGACAGGTACAAGTGTTTACATCCTCTGTGATGCAAAGATGCTCCATAAATGGCACCAAAATACATTAATTTCTGGTGAACTTAGAATTACAGAGTTTTATCTATTCAAATTGCTGCTCATTGTCACCCTTGCCTCGCTACTGCTCTATTATTGGTACTATTTTTGTTTCCAGACTTCTGCTTCCTACTGAATATCTTTAATTCTTTCCTCCCAAGGTGGCCTTCAGTGTATTTTCTGCATCTAATTCAAATAAATCTATTGCTCTTTCTACTGTTTTCTAGGCAATTCCCAACTTTATTATCATTTGTGAACTTCACCAGACTGCTAACCTGAAGATAGCATGTACCTGTGTGGAACTGAATTTTAACTACTCATCATGTTCTTGCTAAAAGTAGATGCTGGGCTGAATAAAGGCCATGTAGAAACTGCCTCCAGGCAAAACTGTGTAATAACAGCATGATGCTCATATCTGTGGGGACAGGGGTGGAAGACAGCATAGGAGGGTATGGTAGGTAAGTGAGATCATTTCTGTTTTTAGAAATCTGCAAAGCAGTCAATGAATTGAAGCCTCTAATATTAATATTATTCTAATTTTAACATTGGTTTGTCTGTCTCCTGGCAGTCTGAGCATACTTATGTGTGGAATCAGTCATTAGTGCTATTAAAGCTTAGTGTTTAAAAGGTATTTCCTGCTTTCAACAGTCTTTCTTGAAAGTGTAGTTCTGAAGGGGCATAAATCCTATACTCTGAACTTATGCAAGCAGCTGTTTTCTTCAGCATCATAAAACTGTTTTTTTTGTAGAGAGCTCCTATGCTGTTTTCTAAAAAGCTGAAATTACACAAGAGCAGTTAAATGAACTAAAGTGAAAGCTTTTCTTCAAGTGATCTCATTGCATAGTGCCTTTTATCCTTCTATTAATCATTGTGGAAAGGAAAGATGGAGAAAATGCAATTTAGGATATAAGAAGAAACATTCTTTATAAAATTTCCCAGAGGAAGTAATTAATATGCATCTCTCATTATATTCCCCAAGAGGTCCTTTTTCACTGAGGTATCACACTTCTGTTCTTACAGATGTCAAAACTAAACCTCTTGGTCAACTCCAGTGTGCTTACTCCTGGGCCCTCTTTGGGTTTAGCCACAGCCACAACCCAAAAAAGGTCTTTATGCAGTGACATGGCCACTCTGGAGTTACAATATATGTAACTGTAAGAGAAATCAGCCAAGAAAAAGAAGGAAAATGTTCAGCTTCTTTCTGTCAGGAAAGTTCTACTCCCTGGAAGATTTTTCTCATGCTTTGTGCAGTGCATTTGATGTGTCTCGAGCGATGAAGTTGCCATCACTTCCTTTGGAGACTGCTGTACATGTGTCAAACCATTTACTCTTCTAAATGGAGGACACTTCTATACATCTAGGAATAGGTTTGCCTTTATAATATTCTTCTATTCTTTTGAACTTTATATGGCTGTTTTTTCTATCAGCTCCTGAAGAGCCATTTTCTTTAAACAGACAGTTCTTGAAATTAAACTGCCAAACTAATTAGAACAAAAACCAAACACTGATAGACTTGTGATGCTACCACAAAAGCATTATAGGCAACAATGCACAACCTGAACGTTCTGCAACTGTATGGAGACCCACAGCTTATTGAAAGTATAGTCCTGACTGTATAAGCAAGACAAGCAATATGCATTTTAAGGAAGATCCAGTTCCAAACAGAATCATGAGTAGAACTATTGCTGGACAAAACATTAGAATATACCTTGGTTTTCCTAAAAATAACTAGAAGCACATGTACCTATTAACTCTATCATTAATTAACCTATTATCAAATTAAAGCAAAAAATATACAACATAAATAAACATTCTTCATGCTTAAATTCTGCAGACTCCGTGATGATTTACATCAGAGTAGTTATTTTGCAAAATTTCTTCAGAGACTGCAGTTGTTTGGTTATGTTCACATTTCTACACTCCCAGTTCATCCCTGAGGAGTACGAGGTGCATAGCTTCAGTTGAGTAAGGAATATAATATATCTTTCAAGATACCAGCATTTATAACAAACTTTTTGGATTTTTTTATGTAAAAGGTGGTGAGGTGGAACATATTGAAATTTTTTAGACTCCCTTTCATTTTCCAGCTCAAGCCCACGTGATGCTCTGTCATGAGAGAGCAAATAATTGAATTTCATTTTTTATGATTTGGGCACATGGAAGGAAAATCCATTTTAAAATAAAGGCTTCTGTCAAGCAAGACAAAATGCAAATTCTTCACTTTCTATTTCATTTCTATAAATCTAGTTCTAAAGAGTTGAAAAACAGCATTAGATTAGCTGGTTAAAACACAGAACTGCTTACTTAAGCTAAACCAAAGTGCAGCTTACCATCCTGTTGATACGAACAAAGTCTTCAGGCTTCTTGGCCCATGGGGGGAGATCAACATCATTCACAACAACTTCATCTTCCCTGATTCCTAGGTTATAGCCATTACTGTTGACAAACATCTCTGGTAGGTAGTAAAACTCTGGAATTAACTCCTAGCAAGAAAAAAAAAACACGCAATGAGACTTTACATTTATCTTGAGATGCTAAATGGTATCTGCCAGAATCAGGCTCTGTTGTAGTACATATTCAGGAATTCCTGGTTTTGCTAATGTTTCTGTGAACTTTTAAATAAATTTTATATTCTGTTTTCTTGTACTTACACTAAAATATATTTTTTCATAATGAAATATTCAAACTATGTTTTTCCCATATCAGTTTTTATGAAAAGCATAACTTTGGAAAAGCAGTGCATGCCAATAAAGGAGGCCTCTTCAGAATAACAGATACAGGAAACTGCATGCTAAGCCTTCCATACTATAATTATGTTGGATTTTCGAATTCATTATTTAATTAAACTACTTAAAAGGGGAAAAAAAAATGCTGATTTAACATTGTCTTGCTTTTATTTTCTCTATGTTCTTTAATTGTGTAAGAAAGGAGGCAATTTCATTACCTATATAAGGAAAAAAATTTGGGGTGAATTAATTTTTCTACTGTAAGTAAAATTGAAAAATAAACGGAAACATGTCAGTACAACAAATGTCCTTAAACCAGAAATACATATTTAAAATGTGAAAGATCAATAACTGAGTAGCAAAGATCATCTGCAGTGTATTAATACATTATAGATAAGTTAGGGTGTTAAGTTTTCCCTTATTTCCAGGATACCTAAACAGAAACTCATTTTGACATAATAAATTTCACCATTTATTGCTGTCGATTATTTTAGCAGTAAGTATTGAAATTCAATATCAAAAAAAGCTTTAAGGTCCAGATATGGATTATGTTCACTAAATAACATTTTTAAAAGCATTATGGCATTCAGTTGTGTAACATGATCAAAACTGATGACACAGCACCTGAAACCTGAATCTCTTTGTGGTCCTTTCAAAGGCTTCAGGCATGTGAAGCATAAAAAAAAAAACACTGCAGACACAAACTTATCTAATTAAATCTGATGTGCAACTCCATAGAGAACAGAGCAGTTAAAGCACAGATAGTCCTTTTGAATTTATTAATTAGAAAAAAAAAAAAAAGATAATATTTACATTACAATGTTAAGTATGTTTAGGGAGGCAATTTACATGCTTCTTTACATTATTTTTAATATACTATAAACAGTCTCAATTCAGATTAGATCAAAATGCAATGCCAATCAATATCTAACCAGGGCAAAACAGTAACCAAGTGAGGCATGCCTGAGCTTCAATAGCTCATTATGACACAAGCTGTAATTTGAAAAAAAAAAAAAAAAATTAAAATATTCCATGCAGTAAATAATAAAACAGCAGGTAGAGAAAAGCCAAACTAAAACCAATTCTCTATATTCTACAAGATGACAAGAAAAATAATTTACTGACAATCTTAACATAGATTATTTAATTCTCGTTTGCTCAGAGTACTTCTAGAAGCAAATTTCCTTTCCCTTTCTCAAAGAAGAATGAATGATCCTCACAGCTGAAGAAAACTAGACATTAATCTTTCTAAAGCTCTACAAACTACTGCTAACTTGTGGCTAAGCGCTGGCCACAATCCAACATGTACTACCATAAAAATCACTGACAGACTAAGAGCATTACCTTAAAGAATGGAAAATTTCATAAGGACCTCAGAATGCTAAAATATTCTTTAGTTAAAATTAAAATAAAATATTTAAATGAAACAGAATTTATTAAATTAAAAAAAAAAAGTAAGTAAAGTTTATTTGTATGTTGCATAAAAGCCTTGAAACACAAAGCACCGGTTTTAATTTTTACCAGTTTTTCTGTGACATGGCAGTGGACTAACCTGCAATGTCAAATAGCAGGCAAGTTTTTGATTCCATCAAAGATATGTTAACTCTTACATTTCCTTTTTCAGTTTTAAATGTCCTAAAATCCAATTGTGAACTTTCACATTGAATATATCTGATAGATTTGTGCTACCCAGAGATGCATCTAGTGTTTAACCAAATTCTATTAACCTTTGAACTTCAGGCCTATCTTGAACAAAGGGACTTAAGGCACTGAATATTTTTAATGATATTTCCATTTAGTAATTTTACCTTTGTTGCTATTTGCTTTCGGTGTCATTTAATGTTCCCTTGTCTGGTATAGCAGAAAACATAAATAGAAATAGAATAAAGAGAAAGCATGTGATTAACCTTCTTCTTAAGATTTATTGAGCTGCTGATGTTTAGTTTGACCTGTCTTATTCCTGTGCTCTGGAAACTAACCAGTGCCAGACTTCTAAATCCTTTTCAAATAACACTCTCTCTAGAATCCTAATCATTTCAGTTACACATATCCTGGGTTTTGGGTTTTTTTGGTGTTTTGTTTTTTTTTTTTAGTCAAAGTAATGAAACTTAATACAGTATTTTTTAAAAAAATGTGATAAACCCACTGTGTTACAGTCTCAGCATTCTCTTTGATGTTATTTTTAGTGCAGTCTACAATTTTGTTTGTTTACTTGAGTACTATTTTGCATGAATTGAACTTTTTCTTGGGATATGAACAATGTTGCAGGTGACCTTTCCCAGATACTCACATATTTCCCATACTCTGCATTAACCGTTCCAGGGTTTTTGGTAGCATTTGATATCCCTCTTGCAATTTTGCTGTCTCCACTATTGACCAGACTAAGAAACCACAACACTTAAAAATAGCTCAGATAAATCCATTCCCTTCTCATCTCTAGAAAATGAATGAATGAATGAATGAATGCCCTCTAAAAGACAGACCCCTTATGAAAAGTTTTGTGCCCCAGGAGTATGAAATTGCTAACATTTGAAAAAATCTTCAAAACGTGTATTTAGCTACTTAGCAGCACAGAAAAAAGAAACAACTCATCTAGAGAAGTGTGATAAAAAGGTCTGATTTTATGAGTTCACTGTTTATTCTGCTGTGAAAAACTGAAGAACCTGTCTCTTCTACCTCATACCAATAGCAGACTCCAGGTGAGGTTGAAAAGGCAAATACTCCCTTCCCCAGGACCCCTGGGCATGCTCTGCTAGCAGAAGTACAAGCTGGGAGAAGCAGAGAGAGGAAGGATTAGCAAGGCCAGGACAGGCAGCAAGGACAGAGCCTGGGAGGTTGCTCAGAAAAGGAAGCAGACAGGAGTGAACCTCAGTGGAGACAGCAAGATGACAGTTGGGGCCCAGAGAGAATTGCTTTACCAAGAAGCCACTGAAAGTTGCAAGAATTAACATAAGAGTGAGGGAAAAGATAACACTACCAAGGGCTAGAGTTACTTTCAAGCCCTATTTAAGTTTTTCTCAGCCAGAGTTTGTGTCTTCTTTGTCTCATAAGGTGGGTTTGTGCTTGTTCACATTCTAATAAAGGTTATGGCTAGAAGATGGCTCTTTTGGTGCTAAGGATTGGGAACAGATACCTCAAATACCAAACTATTTTCAGGGTCATATTTGGAGAGGTGATCTTACCCATTTGTCTGTTCCAGAAGAGGTTCACCTATACCATCTTTCCTGCCAGATATCTGTCTATCCTGTTGTCCCAGATTTGAGTGACAGCAACTCCACAATCCTTCCATCAACTGACTTCAGTACTCTACATCTGAGCAAGTTTCACCTGATGCCTGGCCTGAATCTTTCATTACAGATTTTAAGCCCATTTTCCCTTGTGCTAGCTATCAGTGCATCCCAGACACACAGAATAAATTCCTGTTTTCTCTTTGCATAGTTTGCATATTACATGTTTGGAAAGCAGTATCCTACTACTACTACCTAATACCATCTTTACAGCCTTTCAGGTCTGAAAATTCCAAGTGAAAGACTATGATTTTACATTCTATATTGCTATATTACTTAAGTTTTAGTTACAAATGTGTAAAATATGAATTTAAACTACCCCAATTTGCTAGTATAATTATTGCTAAATGGTGCATAACTTAGTTTACTCCTATACATATTTCTGCCTTACCATATTTTGCCACATTTTCACCACACAGAAGCTAAAATAAATGTTTTTATCAGCCTCTGTGGTTTTTAGATTATAGATAAAGATTGTATAAGTTTCTGACAGCATCTGCTATTTTTCATTCATTTTTACGGCATGCAGCATGGCTTCTTATAAATCACCAGCTTCATACTTTAAAAGGATTGTTGCCAAACTCACCCTGAAGTTAGGAAAAGGATGTATCTCAGGGGTGGTATTTACACCAGGGAATGGAACACAGAGGACCTCCTGTCTCCCAGTCTGTTTTCCACTTGACGGACAGAACAGTCAATAAGTGAATCCTTAAAACTCCTATTGCACCTTCTGTGGCATTAGTGGTAAAAGGTCAGTGCAAATCCAGGTCTATGCACAGGAGTGCTTGTTTGAAACTGCCATGATTTTGAAAAGTTTATGTTTCAAGCTACAAATGTCCGTGAAAAACAAATCTCAAAGTATTTTCTCCCTACACTATAAACATTGAGTCAGCCAATCTAAATCAAGACATGAAGGAAACATCAAAAAGAACAACATAAAAAATCTTCCCCAGAAGTTACATCAGTTTGTCAGCATAAAATGATGGAGTGCAGAGAAAAAAAGACACAGAAGACCAATAGTTTTTGAAAGTCTGGTATTTTTAAAAGTCTGGTGTTTTAAAAATATTCAGACTAACAGAGCATTTTAGATGCATACTGTCATTGTATGCAATTCAGCTGATACACAATTTTGCATTAACTAATACAATTCAGTACATTTTATTGGTTTCTTTGCTCTTGCCAAAACATATCAAAGGTTCTAAATAAATCTTTCTGGCTACATAACCTGTCATGGTTACTTTCTTACCACAATAAATATCTAGAGTTCAAAGAGTTAATAAAAATAGGGATTCTAGTGATCTTAATCTATTTGCAGTAATTTCTGTCTAGTTGTCCTTGACATTTCACAAGCTGGTAACCTCCTCTGCTCCCCTTTCATTCACACTTCTAATAAGACAGGTTAGCTTTCTATCATTTAACAGTCAGCTACCTTACAAACTGCCCTAGAAGCTTGGCTCTTCTCAGATGAGG